AGTATTAAACTAATTTGAACTTATAGCCCTTAAAAATTCTACAAAATGGTTTTTTTTAAAAGATTGATAGCATAAAAACTACGCGAGTTATGGATAAAAAACCAATTACTTTTTTAAACTCGTACAGGGTCTTTGACTATATTTACTTGCTTCCTAGAGCCTTTATTATGTCAGATAGAAAAAAAATGTTTTATGCAGAAGTTGTAGGTTTTTTCCTATATTATCTATTGAAGTTCTCAGATAAAAACAGGAAACAGACAGAAATAGGAAACAGATAGGATTCCTATAAAGGGTTAATGTTGATAGTATAAAGTAGGGAACACTTACCATTTTATAAAAAATCAAACCGTTGAAATTGCAGTAAGCAGGTATTCAGCACTTAATTTTTTAGAAAAAAGTAGTAAACAAAATATTATACAACAAAACACTTGACAAAATAATTTTAAATGTAAAAATTAATAGGATTACTTGTTTTTATGCATTTGTTGCACGGTCCAGTGAACTAACCGGTTTAAAAACGCCTCTGGCGATGCATCGCTTTTATAGCGCTCCGGGCATTGTTCATGTCTGAACAGGAAAAATCAAGAAACTACCGCCTGACATGTTCTCGCAACATAGGAACCGGCAGTATCTGGATGATATACTAATAAAATTTCGCGTGTACCTGATCCTATTTAATTTCTCAACTTTTATTTTGAAATTAATTATTTTTTGGAATTTTTTGCAATTTTTGTCTCTGGGTTTTGTCGCCCTTAAAGGATGCCGCCCGTGTGCATTGCACACTTTGCACATATGGTAGCGGGGGCTCTGGGGTCAATTTCACCGCAGTTGTGCATTGTAGAAATCATGACAACACATTTGTTTTGCTTCGGAACATGAGATACTAATGTGATGTTTTTATCAAACGCAAATACCGAAGTAGGGAAATCTTTTTTCTTTGCTAAAAGCTTTGGAGATATTTCGTGTTTGTTCTTTCGCAGTGTGCCTATCATGGTTACTCCAATATTGCGTAACACATTTGAAAGTTGAATTGAGGAGAACCAGTTATTCACAGTGATGTTCCGGTTTGTTTGATGAATAGGTTCCGATATCTTCAAAACGTAATAGGACGGGATAGACTGTCCAGTAGGACATTGCCATTCTACCTACTTATGGAATTGTAGATATCATGTAAGCACACATCATTACAACTTCCATGCCATATTTATCAGGTTTTTGTGGCATATACAGATTGTCCCAGGAAACCTGTAAGGTCTGTGGTCTGGGGACACCAATACCTGTCGATTGAACCCATGTATGTTCCGCGATTTTTTGTAGTTTTCGAGATATGAATTTTTTTGTTATATTTTCAGTTTTTTTTAAATTTTGGACGGTTTTTTGCTATAATTTTTTTCTGTGAAGTAATTCTTAGACAATTTTGTTGTTAGTATTGTGGCTAGCATGTGTGTTCGTTTGTAAAAACACTAAACACCAAAATTCTATTTACTAGTAGCTCATATTTAGCTCACAAAATTAAAATTTCTGCTTGTGAGATATGTCTATTTTATTTCAACTTAAAAACAAAATACTTAACCCTGACTGAATAACTGCCTGATAAATTCAAAAACTTTATGGGTTTCTTAGCTCTCAAAATATTACAAAATAGTTGGTATTTTATAGAGCATTTTTGTGCGAAAACGGAGTTTAAAGTTGATACAGTCGAAAATAGTGAAATTTATTTCATGCATTTAAAATTACTTTTCTCACATTTTTCCGATTAATATGGTGAATAATTATGAATGTTACATAAAAAGTTTCCAAACAGTGCAATTAAAGTCAAATGAAAATAATTTTTTCACATTCTGCTAAATAAATCAACAGAAATAATTTTAAGAAATAATTTATTAATTACTGTTTTCACAATAAATGTTCAAAGTGCCTGACACCTGCTTCAATGTACAGACGGCACCGACGCAAAAAAATTCCGCGCAAATCTCTGAAGGCTGGGGTGTTTTGTCTTATTATTTCTTGAGCGTCATTTAATTTAGTTTTTAACTCCTCCAAACTCGAGAATTCGCAATGGTACACCAATTCCTTATAGCTATATATATAAAAATCTATGGGGTTCAGGTTTGGGGATCTTGGAGGCCAGGCGATTGGTGCATTACTAGGTAGGTCTTAGGTCATTTGAAATGCTGGTTCAAATGACCTCTAACCTGTCTTGCATAGTGGCAAGGGGCACCGTCGCACTGAAATATCATGTTCTGGCGTGTTAATAAAGTGACATCCGAATCTGCCATGACCTCCACAAAATCATTTTTTTTTAAAAATTAAATAATTTTCACTACTTAATCTCGTTGGGAGTTCTTTTGGGCCAATCAGTTTTCTGTCAACAACGCCTGTCCATAAATTCACACTAATTGGTGTTAAAAATTGTGACGCCGAACCAGTTTTGGATTTTCGGTCGCCCAGGAATGGTAATTGTGCACATTAAAAATTCCGTTGCGGGTGAATATCGATTCGTCTATCCATAAAATTCGGTCGAAAAAGTCGGGGTTTTCGTTGTTCCTTTTTAACATCTCTTGACAAAATTCAATTCAGAGTTGGTACTCCGGTGAAATTAAATCTTGCACTTTCCGTATGTGATACGGGTGATATCCCTCATTGCGCAGAATTCTGTGCACGGTAGTGCGAGAGATTCTGAAAGAAGAACAAAAATGTAAATATATATATAAATATATACAATAAATTTACAGCGACCACGGAAACCAAGTATTTGTTCGTCTACTGTTACATATTCCTACGGAGTGTAGTACTCACGGCATAGTACTTGAAATTTGTCACATACTTCACGCAGCGCTGCTAAATTATCATTGACTTTCCTTGCTTCACGTGTCTCATGATCATCAAACCGCAAGTAATTTATCAAGAATTCGAACCTGTTCTTTGACATTGTGGCCCTGAAAATAGGTGGACCATCCACAATCGACAATAACTCTGACAAGTTTGTTTTAGCTGTTTTGTATAAACCACTACTTGACTAGTTGATGGATTTATTTGGATTAATATATCATTAATCCAAATAAAACCATCAACTCAACTTTATCAGTTTGAGAAGTGTAACGCTGGTTTTTTATGGTCTCAGAAATTTTGTCAATTTGTGCATTGGTATGCATCACAACAATATCCAATATTTCGTTTGGAAAAAATAGCTTACACGCTTCTAATTCGGTTTTTGCGTCACGTAGTCCTTTAGGACTAGGTTGATTTATCACCATGTTTCTACTTGCAGTGCGTGTATTACAAACACTGAACGGAGTTCTTCGCCAAGTATAACCATTTTTGCCCACACAGAAATCAGACAGAAGAACATCATCATCATCGGATCCAGATTCAACATCATACAAATCACCTTCATCGGAGGGTTCGGATATATGTTCAATTTCGGCAGTTTCAGATCCATCTTCGCCCGAAGAACTGGAGGTTTCATCTTCATATGCCTCTAAAAGTTTCTCCATGTCATTACTTTCAAGGACTCGTGACGTTGAGGCAATATTGAAAGACTATTCGTGAAATAAACGCGAAATCAGACAACAGTTAACGACAAAACAAAAGTTTCGATAGCCACAACACGGGTCGCGAGCGAACCCAAACTATAATATCTCCGAACCTAATGAGCGTGCGCACCCCGCCATGAGTCACGGGCCACGGGACAGAAGGTACCAAGGTTTATTAAGGTTACGCACCGTGTTGTAGGTGCAAAACTCGCTAAATAAAAATATAAATACTTGTGCGTGGGGTCATCTATGACCCCATGTTGTGGTTCTAAGGTTAATAAGGCCCATATGTATATTTAATTTCATCTAATTATGTGTTTATTTTATGAGATATTTCATTTGTTTGCATCTACATTGTACTTTAAAATCTGAGACGAAATAAAAAAGTAAAAGGCTTTTTTATTTTGTCGAATTCACATTTATTTCTCGAATCTTTAAGTAGTTTTCATGGTGAATAGGATCGTAACATACGTCAGTTCAGAGTAGGACATGTACATATGACCGTAGTCCTTTGGACGGTTGTGTGATCTCTTCTTGTCAACTATTGATACTTGGTCTTACACTTCTATTTCTGATCGACTGATAAGGTATCAGCAAGCTCGTTTCTGAAATCAGCTAACTTCATAAAGTCATTCTGAGATTTCCCTTAAATTGTGCTAACTTTTTTGTTCAATACCCAAACATTTATCACATTCATGTCCAGCAGGTGATAGAACAGCCTTGTTGTCCACTCTTGATTTTATGCGGATACTATATCGACCAATGAAGTTGTTAAATAGATCAACGCCTCCCATGTGGGCTTTTAAGACCAGAGGACATGATACTACATTCATTTTCAGTTTTTTGTCGTAGCGAGTTTTAGTCTCTGCTGGTTTAAAAAACGTAAGGTATAAACAATAAAACTTGCTTATTGTCTTTCCAGTTTGTTGCCGAGAATTCCATACCTTCAAAAGTGGCAACATTTTCATGGTATGTTAGACGTACTAGGTACGTTAGACTTCAGGATTTCCTTTTTCTCTGGCAACTTGCAAGAGTTTACTAGTTTGTTTCTTTGTGGCCAAGACAATAAATGCCTTCTTTGGTTAAGTAATGTATTAAAGGAATATTGGAATAAAAGGAGAATGCCCATTAATGTATGGAATCCCGTACCATGGTGCATCAAAATCAAACTTTGTTTTCTATGAACTACACTGATCATATTAAAACCTACAAAAGTTATTTTTTTTACAAAAACCCGGATTTTGAGTTATTTTATAAAATCGAAAATAACCTAAAAACTAGGTCTATCTTTTCGACACTACCAAAACCAATTTTAAATAGACACGTTCAACACAAACAAACTTTATTGCTCTAATAACAGCGTTATCCACTAATATCAGTAAGAATTAAGAGTAATATCAACATATAGCCGTGCTACAGGATGCGTGACTGAAACTCGAAGATTTGCGCGTTTTTTTTGTTTTTGCGCCCAGAAGCAATGAAAAGGGCTACCCTCCGGGAAGCGGGAAGGGAGGTGGTGAATGCTCTAAGCATACCACGACAGCCGGCTGCGTGGTTATGTGGGACTCACTGCGAAACCTAAGTGCCTACCCACTAAACACCACCTGTGAGACTGCTTGCTCGAGGCTTGTGTGGGCTTTGAGGAGGCCTATAATCAGCTGTGGACTTGTGAGGGGCTGTAATGATGATTACTGTGATTACACTACCAAACTAATATCAATATAACATAAACATAAGGGTGACCAGACTGAAAAACACGCTCATGGAGTCTAGAGAGCGTCTTGAACAATAACCCTTTAATAATCTTAAAATACTATTCATGACAGATACTATTACTCATGGACATATTATTGTCGTAAATTAATTAAATAAGGGATAGAAAAAATAAAACAAACAAGTTCATTTTTAATAATAGCTTTTGTCGAAAAGTCAAATGTTTTAAGTAAATGTATATTATTGAATAAAACTATTTTTACGGATTTTATCGCGTTTAATTAACTTATTTTATATTCCCGACGTTTCGGTTGCTTTCCAGCTGTTTTTCGGTTGCTTTTAACTATGTCTTGAGGTCTTTCAGTGGTATGCTTGATACGTAAAAGGATGATACGTGAGGCTATTGAAATTAAAAAACATCCTAATTTCAATAGAGAGGGAGGCTGGGTACTACCACCTGCTTGGGATTATGTAATTCATAAAATTAAAACTAAACCCAAGCATACCACTGCAAAACTTCAAGACACTATCGTTCAACTATCATTCTGTGTAAATCGGACTAAAATTATTAATTAAAAAAGCTGAAGGTACTCCGGTTTAACTCTGACATCGGGACGTCAATCACCTACCTCAGTCCCCCGTGACCACGGTTGCTGGAAAACAACCGAATCGTCGGGAATATAAAATAAGTTATTAAAACGCGATAAAATCCGTAAAAATAGTTTTATTCAATGTGTAGTGTTCGTGTAAATATAAGAAATCAAAATGTATATTAAATAAAATATTTTATATTTTATTTAATATACATTTACTTAAATCATTCATTCATCATACTCCTGAAAAAAATTATCTAAAGCCGATGCCGGCGCAGTTACGTCATTATACCGTCCCCAGCTCAAATACCACACTATCGTCATTATATAAGCACAGCAGCCAACTGTTCGCTTACCGATGAGGCAGCTGCAGCAATAGCCTACTATGGTATCTAATGTGTTAGCCACAGCATCATCTTTGCTAATCAATAAATACGTGTGATAAGTACGACTGTTGACATGTCTAGATTTAATCCTACCTCTTAAGAGATAATTATTAAGCCCTAATATCAAAGGTACATCATCATCAAGAGTATTATTCACCTCAATTGAATAAATACCAGTCTGACGGATGTGTTCCCCATAATAAGATGTAGCCTGTTTGAGTTGGTAGGTCCCAAGAGCTAACCGTTTTAAATCAGTTATTGTCAATTGAGGAAATCTATCTAAATGTGGATTATTGCTGTTAATCATCTGAAAATTCACTCTCCTTCTATTGAGATTTGCCTGTTCAACATAAGTTGCTAAATGGTTCTCTAGTGAAAGCCTATCTTTAGCAATTCTTACATATTCCAAGGCTTCAGGTGGGTTTTCTATAACAACATGAAACTTATTAATTAGGGCACAAGAGATTCTAAAATCATTCTTTAGGTGCAAAGCCGCTCTATTGTTAAAAACATGACGAAAGAGTCTAAAATCCCTTTTCACCCTCCCATTAACCACTTCTACAACCCAGCGGCACATAGTAACAAAACGAGATCGATTTGCCTGCTGGGTTGTTAATTGATGCTCATTCTCAAGTAGAGACTCTGGCATATGTGCTACAAAGCCATACCTTTGGAGTTCATTAATTACATCCCTAAATCCTCTATCAAGGATGAAAATGTCACCCCTTCGGAAAAATGATCTTAAACAAGATTCCTCATTACATAAGTTTAAACTTGTAATTGAAGCATCATTAGTGGTCGCCTTGTATGGCCCGAGGCAATCCACAATATGACCATCACAAGAAACTTGATAGTTTCTTGTGATGGTCATAAATTGGATAAATGGTTTAAAAAAATTGGATAAATGGTTTGACCAAATTATCCAATTTTTGCAAACTGTATGTTTGTTTTTGAAATAAGTAATTAGAACTACTTTGGATAAATACATAAGTAGCATCACATATGACTATTGCTGGTTTAGAATTAGGTGGCAAATCAGGATTACCAAATAATCCTTCTGGTATTATTCTATTTCTAGAAGCAACATCTTCAACAGTCATATGATTAAATCCTAAGTATAATGGAACAAAATCATTAATTAAACACTCTCTGGCCTTATTCATTAAGCGTTCTAAGGTGACACGAGATTTATTAAAGAGAGTTGCCAGCCTTTCATTACTATCCCCAGTTCTCAGCTTAAGTAAGTAAATACTTAAAGCAATCGTGGCATTTGGTACTTGTCCTGCTAGACTTGGGATACAGTTTAACAAATCATAAAACTGATCAGAGTTCATGCCAAGCCAAAACTGACACAAATATGCAGGCATAATTAAAATATTTGAGAAATCTATATGGTAATAGGCAGCTCGCTGCATCATATTCATAATTGTGTCGAATTGACTACCGGTAAAATCTCTTAACTGGGAAGATAATTCGCTCCAACGGCCATGATTCAGGTGGTGACGACAGATTCGTGCTGCCGGTGGCACATATAATTTATAATTAAGTAATAACAGATTCTTTATAGATGAGGGTATCAGTAAACGTTCTGTTTCAAAACAATTAACAAATATACAGTGATTGGATGTGCTAGCGGCACGCTTATACGTAGAAGATATAATTGTTGAATTTGATCTAACTTGGTGTGTAGTGTGTAGTGTAACAGTGTGTAGGTTTTGTTGTGGAAGAGGGGGTGGCTCAGGAATATTGAGATCCCCACTTGGTCCAGCATCTGACAGACCAGGGCGATTGGAGTCGTGCTGATCATGACGTTGCACTTCTCTTACAGCTGATCTCCAGCAAGCAGCACATCATCATCATCATCATCATCATTACAGCCCTTCACAAGTCCACTGCTGAACATAGGCCTCCCCCAAAGAATGCCACAAAGCACGGTCCTGCGCCACCTGCATCCATCGACTTCCTGCATATCTTACCAGGTCGTCACTCCATCTAGAGGGGGGACGCCCTACACTTCGCCTGCCGGTACGAGGCTGCCACTCGAGAACCTTTCTTCCCCATCGGTTGTCGGTTCTTCGAGCTATATGGCCGGCCCATTGCCACTTCAGCGTACTAATCCGTTGGGCTATGTCGGTCACTCTAGTTCTACTGCGGATATCCTCATTTCTGAGTTTATCACGCAGAGAAACTCCGAGCATAGCCCTCTCCATAGCTCGCTGAGCGACCTTGAGCTTCCTCATCCGGCCAGCAGTGAAGGACCACGTCTCAGTTCCGTATGTCATCACTGGCAACACGCACTGGGTGTACAGTCTCGTTTTCAAGTTTTGAGGTATACCTGACGAGAAGATGTGTCGTAATTTCCCGAACGCTGCCCAACCGAGTTGAATCCGTCGATTGACCTCTCGGTCGAAGTTGGACTTACCTAGTCGGACTATTTGTCCCAGGTAAACATACTCGTCAACAACTTCGAGCTTAGTGTTCCCAACAACTACCGGCATAGGTGTGACATGGACATTAAACATGATCTTTGTTTTGTCCATGTTCATCTTAAGACCTATCCGTTGGGAAACACTATTGAGGTCATTGAGCATAGTGTTTAGGTCCTCCAGCGATTCTGCCATAAGGACTATATCGTCGGCAAATCGAAGGTGAGTGATGTACTCGCCATTGATGTTGATACCGTATCCTTTCCAGTCCAGAAGCTTGAAAACATCTTCCAATGCAGCGGTAAAGAGTTTCGGGGATATGACGTCACCCTGTCTTACACCTCTCTGCAATTGGATAGGTTTCGTACTCTGGTTCTGTACTCGGATAGCCATCGTAGCCCTACTGTACAAGCACTTCAACACTTCGATATACCGACAGTCAACTTGGCATCGCTGAAGGGACTGTAGCACCGCCCAAATTTCGACGGAATCAAAGGCTTTCTCATAGTCCACATACGCCAGACATAGTGGCAAATTGTACTCTTCGGACTTCTGTACAATTTGCCGAAGGGTATGTATGTGGTCTATGGTGCTAAAGCCTTTTCGGAAACCGGCTTGTTCGGGAGGCTGGAAGTCGTCAAGTCTGCGCGCGAGACGATTCGTAATGACTCTCGAAATCAGCACGTAGACGCGGCTCAGAAGGGAAATCGGTCTGTAGTTATTCAAGAGAGCGTTGTCGCCTTTCTTGAAGAACAAGACCACCGCACTTCTGCTCCACGCCTCCGGTGTAATGCCACCATGGAGGACGGAATTAAAGAGCTTCTGAAGGACTTCAAGTACCGGTTTTCCACCCGCTTTCAGAAGCTCCGCTGTAATTCCATCCTCGCCTGGGGCCTTGTCGTTTTTAAGGTGCTGGAGAGCCATTCTAATCTCGCTCAGACTGACGTCCGGGATATCATCGGAATAATGTCGGATAAGACTCGCTCTTGGATCGTTACTCACACTTGCGTGCGGCTCCAACGATGACGTGTACAGTGCATAGAACCTCTCAATCTCACTCAAAATCTCAGGTGCCCCGGAAACGATGCTGCCACATTCTGTCTTCAGCTTTGACAGTTGGCGCTTTCTGGCAGACAGATCTCTGGCAAAGACTTTGGAGCCTTGGTTCCGCTCGATCGCTTCTTCAATACGAGCTGTATTGAATTTGCGTAAGTCCCGCCGCATGCATTTGGAGATCTGTCTGTTCAGTTGCCTGTATGCTGTCAAATCTGTTGAAGAATGTAGCTTCATCTCCCGTCTAACAGCCATGAGATTAAGAGTGTGATCGGAGAGTTTTTGTGTTCTTCTGCGGCGGGTCTTGCAGAACTTAGCTCCGACCGCATGGACAGTTTCCACGAGCTTGTCATTCAAATCGTCCACTTCATTGCAGTCTTCTAGGCACTGAAAACTGTTTTGTAACTCGAGCTGAAAGGTTTCGGGACTTTGGATTAGAGCACGAGGGGGACGGAGCGTTGACTTCATTAGACGAGACCTCTCCAACTTAACGTTTAGGTTCAGTGTGCCTCTAACCATTCGGTGATCGCTGCCGGTTTTCACCCTCGCGATTACTGAGACATCACTGAACAGTTGTCGTCTGGTCGTCATAATGAAGTCAATCTCATTTTTTGTCGAACCGTCGGGGCTCGACCAGGTCCACTTCCTGTGGGGCCGCTTCTGGAAGAAAGAGTTCATCATAAAGAGTCCCTCTTTCTCCATGAAGTCAGCCAACTGCTGGCCCCTTGGGTTCCGTTGCCCTATTCCAAATTTCCCTACTTTCAGCTCACCGTTCTCTCTTGTGCCTAGTTTTGCATTGAAGTCTCCCATTAACACCGTATATTGGGTTTTGGAGGAATGCATGGCTCTAGAGATATCCTCATACATTTCCTCCACCTCCTGATCGGGGTGTGCCGAGGTTGGTGCAGCACATACTCTTTCCAATCTTGAGATCTAAAAAATAACATGATTAAACATGTAATACAAAATATTTTACAATAGGTTATAAGCTTGATAAATGTTTGTGATGTAACTGTTAGGAACATATGATAATGGTCGGGCAATAATTGTGTCAAAAGAGATAATATTATCTAATACCTACAACATTATTTATTTGTGAAAGCTTCACTTATCGGGACTCAATATAATAAACACGTCTAATAATAGTATTATCACAATCAACTATAGAAGATTGGAAAAAAGTAGAACATTAAAAAGAATTTTATTTTTTTTTATATAGCAACATAAATAAAAATATTTACCAAATGCAGCGGAACACGTCTAACTAAAATGTTTCTCTCTTGTCGATCTTGTCTTATAGGATATGTTCTAGTTGCACGTAGAATAGAATTGCCACAAGAAAAACATAATTTTCTATGACCAAAAGCAGGCAATCCTTCACTGATTGTGTTTGCTCTATCTTGAAGCAGTGTCTAACACTTTGTACAAAGTACGCATTCTGAAGACAACTGCAATAAAAACCATGACTAAAAAAGTGTGTAAATACACCTTGTGGCGTTATCTATCATCTGTAACATATTCACAGAAGTTACACCTGTATGTAATCAAGGGCAAAGCCTTTTTTGACCTCAAACAGGTTCAATCTTTGTTATTTTTTGTGCAAGTCTAAAATAAATATTTCTTTCATTCTATAAAAATGTTTTGTAAGATGGTGGAGATGTGACATCCTTAGATATTCAGAGTAAAATAAAATCTGCTTACCTGAGTAGGAGTTATCCACGACTGTAACAAGTTAATCATTGGAGTAGACGCTTGTTCTAATGAATGTGTACGTAGGTTTCTGGGTATCAAAAATGAACAATTGATACATCGTTGGTTTTGCCGGGTGACTGACGGTATCAATTGGTCAACCCCACGACTCGACATATTTGCACAATTAAATACACAGAAAATTTTTACAAAATACAACAAGTTTTACTTCTCAACATACAAAAATACATGCGGTCGTATTTGCTAGCGCATAGGCAAAGTTACTGTTACTGCGTCATTACAAATGTCAGAGTCTGACAGTCAGACCCGGAAACGGTAACTATAAGGCCGTATTCAGTGCTCTCCTGACGGTCGGGACTGACGGTCAGTGCGTACGCACGCACTGACCGTCAGTCGGCTTTATGCATTCAGTGCTCCACTGACCACCGTACGGAACAGCAGGGTATAGTCGTGATGTATCCGTTTATAAATTGTTTAATTACTCTTTACTATTTGAGGCGATTACGAATGAAAAAAAAACGAAGAAGATATCACGTACATCCAGTTATTGCTAACAGGCTACTTGAAGGAGAATTCAGTACTCTGTTTTCAAAACTTAGAAATTATAATGAAAAATTCTCTGATTATTTTGGGATGTCAGTAAAAAGTTTTGATGAACTGCTGGCAAGAATTCAGGATCATATTAAACATCATAACATGTTTAGGATTCCAGTACGACCCGTTGAAAGACTTGCTGTGACATTGAGGTAAGATAAAATCGAAAATATTTTCGTAGTCGGGTGCTATTCCACTCATCAAATTTCTTTGATCAAAATATCAGTGCATTTTTCTAATAATATCAACATAAAAGTCAGCTTTCTCTTTTTGTTGGATAAAATTGATGGGTAGAATGGCTGGCACCCTTACATAGAGTACTTTTAAATATGAAATTAGAGACCTTTAAATATGAAATAGGCAAATTAAACATGTTTATGTGCTAAGTTTAATAAGTTTAATAAGTAATTTAGGTAATACAATCAGTTAAGTAATTTAGGGAATGCAATCAGTATTATCAGTATCATGTGATTGTCAGTCATTGCTTAAAATTAATATACTGAGACAAATCAGATGATGGGTTTTCCAAATTTTGTGATGTGCTCGTATAAGCGAAATTACGATTAGTTGTCACTACGTTTTGAAACGAAGGTTCTTCAACTGAATACAAAACTATGTCTCGAGATCCTGGTGATGGTATATTGAAGCTGGAAGCAGACAAAGATGTGATTACCGAATTTTGTGATGTATGTGCGATATTTGGATTAGTTCTCACTACATTTTGAGACGAAGGTTCTTCAACTGAATACAAAACTATGTCTTGAGATCCTGATGGTAGAGATTCTGGTGATGCTATATTCATGCTGGAAGTAGAAGATTCAGGGCGAGAGGTAGATGCATACATTGGTGAAGCAAGAGGAGTGATAGACGAAGGGCAGTTACAAATTTCCAGGGCTTTATTCATTACTGCAGTACGGAACATAACTTTTTGACGATTGTCGAATGTCCGTGTTAAAGGTAAAAGAGAATAAAAAAATGCCATATCGTCATTTTGAATAATTTCGCTGTTTTTTGTTAAAAAACTCCAAGATGTTTTTATCGAAGTAGCTGTCTTCATTAGTTTTTGCGTTTTTACGCTTCCTTGATGGGTTTGTGTTAGGAGTAGAGCTAGATTGTTTAGTTGTGTTTGAAGAATCTTGTCTAACTTGGCTGGAACACTGTGGTTGGGTTTCTGGATTGGTGGATACTGTTTCAGTAGAACGTGGATTGATTGGAGACTCTAAATTTGAATCTTGTTGTGTATCTTCTCTTGTTTCATTTTCTTCAATAGAATCTTCGGTGTCGGCAACATGTTTTTTGTCAAGAAACTGTAAATGTTTGAAAAATACGTATTTGGTTCTCTTTCCGCCTTCCGATCCCGATTTCACAGATTTCATAGAATTTTTGCATCTCATGTAAGCATCTCTCGCAGTTCTCCATCTTTGTTGTACACTTTTTTCTGTAAATAATAAATAAAAAAAATTGTGTTTTTTGTTCCAGGTACTTAAGAACTGGACAAACGTTTTCGGACTTACATTTCAGTTATCAACTTGGCAAATCAACTATTTGTCTCATTGTTCGAGAAGTTTGCCTGACTATTTGGAATGTGCTTCACAGTGAATGTCTTTCGCTCCCTAGGTTCCCTGAAGATTGGCTTAAAATTGCTTCAGGATTTGAGCAGGTTGCCAACTTTCCGAATTGTGTAGGATGCCTAGATGGCAAACACGTGAGAATTGTTTGTCCCGAAAAGAGCGATAGCTTATTTTTAAATTACAAGAAGCATTTTTCCATCAATCTACTAGCAATGTGTGATTCAGAGTATCGTTTTACATATATACATGTTGGTTCGTGTGGGTCAGACTCTGATTCAACAATTTTCAAGAATACTAGTTTGTACACAAAATTACATAATGGAGAACTAAATTTACCAAGTGCTAAGCCATTACCTAATACCACTGAACCAATGCCATATGTGCTAATAGGCGATGGAGCGTTTGGAATATCGAATAAAGTCTTAAGACCTTATGTTCGCAGCAATATGACACATAAAAAGAAAATATTTAATTATAGATTAAGTCGGGCGAGAAGGTACATTGAATCGACGTTTGGAATAATGTCCAATAAATTTAAAATATTCCAACGCTCAATAAATCACTCACTGCCGAATGCTATTAAACTTGTTAAAACCTGTTGTATTTTGCACAACTACATTAGAGAAAGAGATGGCTATAAATTTGAGGATACGCTAACTATTGAAGGATTTCAAAATAATACCAACACTAACAACATCTCGGTTGTCAGATCCGGTGATGTTTTGAGAGATAAATTTGCTAATTACTTTGTTTCTGAAGTTGGCGCAATTCCGTGGCAAGATGATTCTATATTTTGATTGTTATTATTTAGATACTTGTATATTCAATAAAAAATATTTTTAATAAACACATTTTTTTACTTACCAAAGTCTTTTTTATCATTCTCAGACAAATCATTAAAATCGGGCAAAAGAGCTTTATACACTCCAAACCATGCTTGAAGCTTGGCATCTTTATCTTTGAATAAATCGTGAGATAGATCCCACAAAGGTGGTCTTATTCGAACTTCTGTTATCACACGTTCAGTGTCGATGTTATGTTTCGACATGATTGTACACGCTAACGTCCGTTCGAGTCCCGCTTCCGCAACGCACTAAATGCTCTGAAGCATTGCATAGCGCGTCAGTCACCTGACGTACGCAGCACCGACGCGCTCGACTGACCGTCTCTGTCAGTATTGCGTATGCGGACGCGGTCAGTGCTGCTCTGAATGCACGCATGGTTTCTATGGCGATAGCTACGGCAGACTGACGTCAGTCCTGACCGTCAGGAGAGCACTGAATACGGCCTAAACCATAAACTAGGCATGTCGATTCGAAAAATCGATTATTTAGGGTACTATTATCAATTTTCAGATCGATGTGGGACAGTACATCGATTCGATGAATCGATCCAAAAACCTCGCGAATCGTTCTGATTCACAAACTAGTGATAAAGTACATAAATTGGTTGCAATGTATTACCTTTTTAATTTTTATGCTGTAGTCGGACGCAAAAACAACCGGTCGTACTTGGTGGTTAATTTGAACACATAAAATAAATATTTATGAGCTAATTATGGATGTCGCCGCCGGAGGACCCAAAAGCAACCAAAATTACTTTTATTAAACTTAAATTAAAAGATATTACAAGTAAAAATAACTAATACTAATTAAATCTAATTATACCAACACCCCGTTCGATGTTAGAAACGAAGTGTAGTGGCATCATGGAGTTTCGTATATATAATTCTGGCAGGTGACGCCGCGGGCGTCACTGTGAATCCACGGCAGCTACATTTCCCATCAGGTTAGCAGAATTGCCTCGCTGCATTAGGTTTCTGATAAAGGTGCTATGTCGGTTGACATCGCGTGCGTCATTGTGAGTCCACGGCGACCGAGTTTCCATCAAGTCAGCGAAACTGCCTCGTGGAAGCGATGTTGAAATGTGTGGGAAAATGAGGTAGCCGCGTAGTTCGCGGTTTTGTAAGGGACATCCATATATGTAACAAGTTCATCCAAAGAAGTTGTTACTTACATTACTTACTAATAATAAAAAAGTTGTCATTGTTATTTCTAATCTAACCCGTGGATTCCAGCCTCTAAACTTATCTGTGCTTTTTATATACTTATCTATCAAAGGAGTTTTGACGGGAACTTGACCGGCTGATTGCTGTTCCTGTATTATTATTTAAATAATGGTTTCAAGTGGATTTTGTTATGTTAAAGTGGTTCGAATCTGCATATTAAATGTCTGCGCATATGAACTATTAGCGATAACGGTGCAACAAGTGCTTCGATGATGATGTGAATCTCAAAATAAGGCGTCTGCCTGCTTAAGCACCTTGAAATACTATTACCAACTATCTGCTGGCTCAAGTGGCCGTCAAAATCTCCTGAAATCTACGCGATGTGGTGAATCAACATGTTGTGAAGCAGTGTACTATAAAAGATCACTTGATACTAAAATAAATGAAAACATAGCTTAAAGGACAACAAGCATCCAAGCCAAAAATCTAAATAAAATAATATTTATTAAAAATATATTGTGACTAAATATTATATGTTGAAGTTTATTGTAAAGAAATAAACATTACCTATTATGTTCGTGTAGAATACATTTCAGTTTGATAAATAGTGAGTGATTAAATTGAAACCGATTTATCGAGAAGTGTATTTTTTTTTCTGGAAGTGTACGCTGTTGGACCTACGGCCTTGACAGCTTCATCTAATTAGGCTCGTAGGCGAACACTTACGAACTATTGAGTGCAACGATTGCAATCCCGAGGTACCCCGACCTCTGCTTTCGGAGTGAGGCTCCTTGAACTGGGGGCGGGGGGGGGGGGGGGGGGCTCGATGCAATTCAAGGGCCCCTCAGAAGGAGGTACGAACCTCGGCTTGAATCATTATCGCAATTTTGTTTACGGGTCGCAAAAATTAGAAACGCCCCGTATTACGGGTGTTGCACCTCGTGTACGGGGTGTGTCTATGACCACGCGTTCGCCGGCGAACGCGGTGTGCCCTAGTGTTCTGTACTAGAGTAGTGTCTGAGTGTGTGGAGAAGGGTACGTTGCAGTTTGCACTATTTAAATTCCCAGTCGTAGCACATAGTCTGGATTTGTGCCCAGTGTATAACAAAAGGCTCAACCCCCATTACACGGGCGGTATAACATAACTAAGGACTAGTAGGAATACTACATACCTCTGCCTATTCCTTCGGGGAAATACATGCGTGATGTTATGTTTATTAATTGAATAATAATGATTCGCAGGAGTGCTACACACCTCTGCTTACTATTTCGGGGAAATACAGGCGTGGTGTTGTGTTTATCAATTTAATCTTATTTCTATCCAATTACTTGTATTTAGTAAATTATCATCAATAATGTTCTGTGTCTATATTAAGCATATTTGAAAATGTCGTGATTAATCGAAAATCAATCTTTTAACACTCGATTTAATAAAAAATCGATTCTGGTATGTATGAATCGAATCGGAGATCGATTATTTTTTAACTGAATCGATATGCCTGCTATACGTGTCATTTATAGGGAGTAAAACCACAGACATAGAACATGGACTGAGACTTCCCTAACCAAATGTAAAATAAAATTGACTATATCCTAAATCCATACTTCTAAACTTAAAAGTAAATTCCATGTTCAAAAATCAAATCCCCGGACGAGTAATGTCGTAAACTAATATGAAACTCATTACTATAAAATGTTGGTCTTGATGCGCGAGAATTTTTGGTACCACTTTTGGTCATTCTCCTTTGTCAATATGAATTCATTTTGACAACTTTTATACCGTTATTACGACGAGTCCCAAGATATTTAAATCGTGTAATTACATTATTTCCATGTATTGGGACTCGTAGTAACAATCGAATAACTGTATTTGATACTGCTCCTAAAACTAATTCGCCAGGTAAATGTTCAACATCCTTAGCTGCTGAGTAAAGCTCGAATGAGATCATAAAATCTATAATTTGAATAAAAACTGATAAGGCGTTTCCAAATTAAGAATTTCAAGTGGATACTCAGTTTAACTCAGCCAACAACGATGACCAATCAAAAAAGTTCTGGGATGTTTAAAATGTTTTTATATCAAACTGTTCGTCATTTATTCCTGAGTGATTCCAAATTTAAATAAAATAAGAAAAATAAAATGATCTGGCGGCAAAAATTGAGTTGAACTAGATGTAGTGAATTTTGTACCCAGAGTAATTGTTTTATCATTTAATTATTTATGTACACACAACAAGATACAAAAACAATCTTATAGTGAGTTCGTACATAAAAAAAACTATTACTTATTCCATAATTTGCTGAAATATCTTCCAGTAGACCCACAAAAGAAACCACTATAAATAAAGTATAGAATAAATAGAAATAATACATGCGATAACTACATATTATAAATGAAATAAACTAATACTAATAATGGGTGTTTTTTTTTAGAGGTATAGAACTTTGAAATGGAATAAAACAAACATGATTTTTTTTATTGACATGAAATTTACTTTATTCGAAAGACAATCTTCTGGCATTATAATTTAAATATGACTTCTGGCATATGACCGCCACGCCTGGCTCGGACGTAGTCTAATCTGGAGGTCCAATTTTCGATGACTTTTTCCAACATTTGTGGCCGTATATCTGCAATAACGCGCCGAATGTTGTCCTCCAAGTGGTCAATCGTTTCGGGCTTATCGGCGTAGACTTGCGACTTCACATATCCCCACAGAAAATAGTCCAGCGGCGTTAAATCGCACGATCTTGGAGGCCAATTCACGGGTCCGAAACGTGAAACTATGCGGTTACCAAACGTTTCCTTCAATAAATCAATTGTAGCACGAGCTGTGTGACATGTTGCGCCGTCTTGTTGAAACCACAACTCCTGCATATTGTTACGAGCTTGGGGTTCAAGACAATTAAAAACTGCCGATTGAATTGCCAAAATTGATACTTTTATTACACAACACTAATTACAATCTAAAATCACACTAATAATAAAACACAGTTCGCCGTTATTTCGCTTCGAAGTATTCTCTTGTATCGCCAATTCAATACTGCCTCGGTCGTGGTCTATACCGGCCTTATATAGGGCCTCAGACAGTTTCCAGAACCTTCCACTGTAGCGACATCTAGAATGTTCGAGTACATATCGGTCCCGAAATTTCTGGAAGGATCTCGACTCTCCTAGTTCTGCTACTCGACACTAGAGGGCGCTAGTGTAACTAGTGTTGCCATGTACAAGACATTAATAGTGGCGCGCAACACTTTCTTTTACTCGTCACTAGAGGGTGCTAGTGTAACTAGTGTTGCCATGTACAAGACATTAATAGTGGCGCGTAACACTGCCCCCTCCTAAGACATGCTCGTCCCGAGCATTATTGGCCCCATAATAACGCGCCAGTCGATCCACATGGACAATCTTAGGAGTACCTCTGACACCTTTCTGTATCCGGTAGGTTACGTCATTGATCCTTGTCACAATCCGGTACGGTCCGTCCCATTTAGCTTGAAGCTTAGGAGATTTCCCTTTGCTGCGAACTGGATTGTGTAACCACACTAGTGAACCTTCATCAAACCCCGCGGTCATACCGTGTTTTCATCTTCTCAGACGTTTGCTGGCCCGTCTGTCTGACGTGCTCATAAATGTCATTCATTTTGTTCCGCAAGTCATTTGCATAATCGGTTATACTGCGTGGGGCATCAGGTGGTATTCCGGTGATCAGGTCTGCAGGCAGCCGCAATTCTCTCCCAAAGTTTACGAAAGCTGGTGTCACTGATGTACTTTCGTGAACAGCGCTTCGATATGACAACAAAAACGGTTGTATGTGCCTGTCCCAGTCTCGTTGCCGTTTTTCCACAACTTTTGCTATGTACCTCTCCAATGTCTGATTTAATCTTTCTACCATTCCATGAGATTGTGGGTGGTAAGAAGTTGTTCGTGTTTTCTGAGTACCCATAACTCGGCAAGTTTCCTGGAATATTTGAGACTCAAAATTCCTTCCTTGATCGCTGTGAAGGTATCTCTAAAGGTACTCCAAAACCACAGAAGACTTCATAAACTAGTTTATCTGCAACGGTTGACGCTTCTTGATTTGGAATGGCGAAGACTTCTGGCCACTTAGTGAAGTAATCCATCACAACCATGAAATACTTGTTACCACTTTCAGTTTCTGGAAACGGCCCCGCAACGTCAATGGCTATCCTCTCCCATGGTGCACCAACATTGTACAATTTCAATGCGCCTCTACTACGAATTTGAGGTCCCTTTACAGCCGCACAACTTGTACATTTGCGGCACCAGTCCTCGACATCGTCACGACAGTGGACCCAGTAAAACCGTTCTCGGATCTTCAGGAGAGTTCGTTTAACTCCCAGGTGGCCTCCTGAACAACCACTATGGTACAGCTGTAGAACATCCGGTACTTTAGCCTTAGGGACAACCATTTGCAAATGACAACTGTCTCCCCGACCATTTTCCCATTTACGGCACAGGACTCCATCCTGAATCAGCAAGCTGTCCCATTGGGCCCAATAGCTTTTCGTGGTCGAACTCATTGCTGAGACGTCGCTCCACTTGGGCTTAGGAGCACTGGCCTTCATCCATTCCAGAATCGGCTTAATATCCGAAACTTCCTGCTGTGCATGTTGTAGGCTGTCCTTCCACTCATTGCTGAGCTGGTCTGTCCTGAGCATCCTCACAGATACCACTTCCTTACCCTCTTGCCTAGTACAATGCTTGCAATCTTCAGGGCAAGGTCTTCTTGATAATGCATCTGCATTGCTATGAGATTTCCCGCTGCGATGTTCGATCACAAAGTCGTATTCCTGCAGTAGTACAATCCATCTCGCAACTTGTCCTTCCGGATTTTTGAACTGCAATAGCCATTTCAGTGCAGCATGGTCAGTTCGTAAGTGGAATTTCCGCCCTAGAAGATATTTGCTAAAATGCTGCAAGGACTTTACCACAGCAAGCAATTCCCGTCTTGTGACACAATAGTTCCTTTCCGGCTTTGACAATGACTTGCTGAAGTACGCTATCACAATCTCTTGATCACCATTCCGTTGAGACAACACACCGCCAAGTCCTATATCACTTGCGTCTGTGTCAACTATGAATTCCTTGCCCGCATCAGGGTACCCCAAAATAGGTGTTTTGCACAGACGGTTCTTGAGCTCCTGGAATGCAATATCGCAACTTTCATCCCAGCAGAAATGTCGCTTCTCCTCGGTTAGCTTGTGCAGAGGTTTGGCTATGTCTGCAAAGTTCTTCACAAATCGCCGATAATAAGAGCACAAACCCAAAAATGCTCTAACCTGTGTCTTGTCTTTTGGAACCGGCCACTCCTTGACAGCGGCAATTTTTTCTGGATCCGTGCGGATACCTTCTTCCGACACTACATACCCCAAAAAACTAACTTGCCGTTTGAATAGTGAGCACTTCTTTGGACTCAACTTGAGGTTGGCACTCTGGATCTTCATGAACACGCGTTCCAGGTTTTGAAGGTGTTCCTCAAACGTACGGCCTACGATGATGATGTCATCCAAATAGACCAGACAGGCATCTCCAATTAGCCCGGTAAGTACAAGCTCCATCAACCTTTCAAACGTTGCTGGAGCATTGCACAATCCAAACGGCATGACTTTAAATTGCCACAGACCCTTTCCTGTGGAGAATGCAGTTTTCTCCTTGTCCTTAGGGTCAATTTCAACCTGCCAGTAGCCACTTTTCAGGTCCAGCGTACTAAACCACTTTACGCCTGTGAGCATATCCAGCGTGTCATCAATTCTAGGCAAGGGATAGCTGTCCTTCTTCGTAACGTCGTTCAGGCGGCGGTAGTCAACACAAAACCGCATGCTGCCGTCCTTCTTCTTTACCAGCACCACAGGTGAACACCATGGACTAGATGAAGGTTCAATAACACCATCCTTCACCATTCCCTCTATCATGGTTTCCACTTCCTTTTCACGTGCTACAGGCAATCTTCTTGGCCGCTGACGAATAGGCAATTCTTGTCCTGTGTTTATTTTGTGTTGAACTAAGCCAGTCTTTCCTATGTCAGCTTCGTTTGACGAGAAAACATTGGCGTACTTGAGTAACAACTTCTTCGCCTTGACCATTTCATTCGGGGAGAGAACGCTGCGACAGTCTTCTAAAAGTGTGGTCACTCTCGTTTGTCCATCCTTGCTAGGGGTCCCGGTCGATAGATATTCGCACCGACGCAACCAATCCACTTCCTCACTAGTACCAACCAATGTGCCTTTTTCTATAATCTGTTCCTGATCACAAAGGTTCAGCACACGTACTCCTGAGATATCGGCGGTTCTGACCAAGGTTCGAGCCACTTTCCATGGAAGGTCATTGTCTACCCTTTCCACGAGTACGCAACGATGAGCTTGCCCAGGACTCCGAGGAAGACTAACCGGCACAATCGTTTCCGATCTCGGCGGAAGAACAATCTTCTTAAGGCTGTACACATTCCCTGGTAACGCTCCTTCCATGAAAAGTTCCTCTTGTCCACATTTCAAAACACCTTGCTTAACGTCGATCTCACAACAATTCTTCCTCATAAAGTCTAGGCGCAGGATGCAGTCGTCCATTATATCAGCCACGATGACATTATGCAGGTAGATCATGTTGCCTAGCTTCAACTCCATCTCCTTCTCTCCACGGACGGGTATGCGCTGACCAGTGGCTGTCACCAAATTAATGCGTTCTCGGTTGTATGCGGAGTCCCCAAGGAACCGACTTATAAGTTGGGAACTGACAACCGTGCGAGAGGCTCCAGAGTCTATGGTCAGTTTACACGGCGTTCCGTTGACTTCGCCCTTGATGATTAGGCTGTTCCCATCATGGGTTTGTGAGATCGAAATCCTTGGGGCTCTTTTAACATCAGCCAGCACCCGCCCCGCAGTCCTGGCTTTTACTCGTTTCCCTGCTGCTGCTGGGCGGTGCTATTAGCCGCACTACCCTCTCGAGATCGATCACCTTCCCTTTCTACAGTTCGCTTAGGGCAGCTGGATCGAAGATGGCCCCTTTCTCCACAGCCGTAGCACCTAGGGCTGTAGCTTTTATTGCGGTCCTGAACTGTAGCTGCTGCAACCTCCCTGACGCGGTGGGAACGATAATCCTGCCGCACGGCTTCCACCTCCAGTGCATGGGTCAAGGCGTCCTTAAGCGTCTTGTGGTGCCCGAGCCTCACAGCAGCTCTGACTTCAAGGTCGAGGATGCCGTCGATGAATGTCTGAACCAGGTTCCCTACAATAAGCGCAGGTACAGACTGGTATGCTTTTCGAACCAGCTTCTCCACCTCAAGGGCCCACTGCTGCAGGTTTTCGTTACTGCGTTGCACGCTATCTTTGAGCTGCGCACGAAAGACGTGTTCCAGGTGAGCGTCGCCATATCTCGCCTCCAATGCCTCAAGGAGCTGCTCGTAAGTCACTTCCTTACCGAGAGCCTCCAGAACAGTTAATGCCTGGTCGCGCAGGCCTAGGGTGAGAGCAGTCATGGCCTGACTTTTATTCCAGCCGTTCGCTTTTATGACAGCCTCGAACTGGATTTTATAGGCCGACCAGGAAGAAGTCCCGTCGAACGGCGGCACTTTGAATCCACGTAGCGAAGGTGTTGTAGCTACCACGGGAGCTGTAACTCCATCCCCAATTTTGAGGTCGTTCAGCGTTTTCTTCACGTCAGCCATCACATTGTCAACCCGATTGTACACTTGGTCGATTCGGGTTTCAGCTTCCGACAGGCGGTTGTCATATTGAGCAACCTTATCCTTCACCTCACTTATTTCTTTCCCGAAGGTAGCGTGAAGGTCCTTCATGAGAAGTATCTGCTCTTCCTTATCGCGTTTGAGCTGCTCTTCCAACCGACGGCCCTGTTCCTCC